CTAATGTCGAGATGTTAACTAATTGTCATCTTAGCAACACTCCCCAACATTAATATAGAGATAGATTAAGAGAATAATTAATATTCAAGGGAAGAAGTTAAGAAAATAACTCACAACTTTAATAATCAACAAGCTTCAAGAGCAACACCAAGAAATGGAAGTTTAGCTCCTCATTTGGAGACTAAACATGCTATAAAATATAAAAGAAATACTATTCTAAACTGAGCTTAAGAGTATGGAAGAAGGGATTATTAAAAGTGAAGGAAAATGGGGCTATTTATAGGTGTTTTTCAACACCTTTGGCCGGGTACCCGACCAAATAAAGTGCCCACCCGACCGGGTGCATGTCAAAATCAAATATCTTCCACGTTCTGGCGATCTTCGGCACGTTCTGGTGTTCCGGGTCAAGTCGGACCCGACCGGGTGAAATACCTCACCCGACCGGGTGATGTAATTTCCTGAGCAGTTTCGCATTTAAATTTCTCACCCGACCGGGTGCAATACCTCACCCGACCGAGTGATTGTCCTGGGCAGCCAAGAATTATTTTTCTTCACATTCAAAGTCTTCCTTTCCAACACCATAAATCCTAACTCTACTTTACAACTTACAAATGAGAACTAAAATACAATTACAACTAAAATCACACAAATGTTTATAAACTAAATAAAACGATAAACAATACACACAAATCAAACATAAAAACACACACTTATGCACTACTAATTAGTGCATATCAAATACCCCCACACTTGAACCTTTACTCGTCTCGAGTAAACCAAATCCAGCCCAAGAAGTCCCTAAAATGGCAAGAGTATCAACACCAATATCCACGTGTGTTGTTAGAACAACACGAAAAAATATCCCCAAAAATATAAGAGTAAAAGGGGGGTCTTCAACTCCATATTTCTTATCAACCTCAGTTTTTTTTTATTACCCTTAGGATCCTGCAGAAATAAAAGAAAGTACTTTCTCTCATTCTCTCATTTTGCCTAGGTGCCCTTTCGGGTTTTCATCCCAGCTTCCCACATTTTTTTGTTTTAATCCTCACAACTCACTCTTTTTTTTTTTGCTTTATTTTTGCTTAAGTTGCCTTTTCAGGTTTTCAACTTAACAAGCTTTATTTTCTTTTTCTTTTTTTTTTTTTTTTTTTTTTAAATAACTCAAGCATACAGAGTATGAATGTGAGTTTTCCATGAAATTCTCCCCCCAAGCTAATCAAAGCACTGTCCCTAGTGCTTGTGTCCGAGATGTCCAAAAGAATGAATCTCTTTGCTGTAACACCGTCCCCAAATGTATTTACTTTCAAGTAAATGATGTAATAAACCTTATGGAATGATTTACGAATTTACGAAGTTGTAAATTTTTATTATTCTTTCGCGTGAATAGTAAATTGCACGTGGGGCCCACACCGGGAGCGGGGGCCGCCCGACACTCCCGAGACCACATATTTTATTCATCTTGGTCAAGATAATATTTATATAGTGGTGGACATTTCGTTTGAGTCGTGGAAAGGCGCAGAGTTGACCGATTGGGGAAAAAGAGACCCAATTACCGGTACCGACAATTTAACAGATAACAGCCCGAAAATGAATTTCGGAGGCTTATAAATTAAAGTTGGGGAATGTACATTCATTATACATGTCATAATGAGTAAGAGCACATAATATATTTTATTTGAACCGATAAAATAAAATATATTTAAAGCAGTCCGAAAAATACAACTTTCGGGACAAATTGTACACTTCGGGACAAAAAGGGTTGACCTCCCACATGAGTGGGGGCCAACCCACGATTTTTGCCACTCAAATTGAGGGCTGGGTCGGTTGGCATAGAGAGGAGAAACATGGGGGATGGTGATGTGATCCTTTTAGCATCAAACAAAGAGGAGGTGGCCCCATCCACACTCATTTGCTCTATGAGACAAATGAGTATACCTCACCCCTTCCCCTCCCTCATTTTCGGCCAAGGAGAACCAGGGAGAGCAAGAAAATCCACCCAACCTCCTTCCTCCATTGTTGAAGAAAGCTCATCAAAGAGGAATCACCCAAAAAGGAGCTAAAGTGCTAAAAGTGTGAAATAATTAAGGTAATGACCTTATTATAACTTTTTCTTTATTTTTCTTCTACCATATGAGATATATATCATGTGAAGAATCCTTAAGAGGGTTCTACATGTTATAAGTATGGATTAATGGGTTGGAAAGTGATTCTATGTCCAAGAACGGACTTAGAAGCCAAAACGACCGGTTCACCGGAAAATAACCTTTTTGAGGTTATTTGTATTAATATGGGTTTTATGATTATAAAACCTTGTTAGGGACTTGTAAAGGGTATTTCAAGTGATTTCACAAAGTTGGAAAAGTCGCCGGAGTAGTCGCCGGAGTTGACCAAAAGTCGCCGGAGTTTCACCGGAGTTCAACCAAGAAGGGTAAAACTTCAAAACGCTAGCTCAAGGTGAGTGGACGGCTTAATATCTTATAACTTTTGGGTTAATTATGAGATTACCTAAATAAATGTTATATGTTTTCATAATGATGTTTAAAAGATAATTAAACATGTGATTAGCCAACATTATCAAGTTGTATGAAAAGAATTAATTGATTATGCATGAAATATGATATGAGCGATTATATAAAATGCACATTAGCTTGAAGTGTAAAAGAAGCTCAAATGAGTATTATTGACTTAATTATATGATGATTAAGTTGATGTGAACAAGGCTTGAATTGGCGGTCAACGACAACGTTGACCGATGGATGATGGATTAATTAATATCGGTTGATGTTAGTTAATTATACATTTATTTAAATGCATGGCTTTGCATGGATTGTGATACATAAGATTTATGTATTGGATTAGTTATGAGTAACTAAGGATGATATAGACTCTATCTAGGTTGATAGGAGGTTGATCATAGGAAAACTTGGTGGAGGACCCTAGTACTTAAAAAGTACTTAACACTCAAACTTGGTGGAGGACCCTAGTACTTAAAAAGTACTTAACACTCAAAACTTGGTGGAGGACCCTAGGACTTAAAGTCCTTAACACTCAAACTTGGTGGAGGACCCTAGTACTTAAAAGTACTTAACACTCAAAACTTGGTGGAGGACCCTAGGACTTAAAAGTCCTTAACACTCAAACTTGGTGGAGGACCCTAGTACTTAAAAGTACTTAACACTCAAACTTGGTGGAGGACCCTAGGACTTATGAGTCCTTAACACTCACAAACCGGTGGAGTATCCAAGGATTATGATCCTAAAACTCATAGATTGTGATATACAAGTAGGGACAAGGAGGAGTCCTATACACTCATAGGTATATGGGTGGGTTGGGGTTTTTAGTCAAGAATATTGACTATTACTATTTTCCCGAATAAAATGGTGATCTACGGATCGGATATTTTCCAAGTATATATATACTAATAAGTATTTCATAACTTGGGGGAAAGATTATTTATTTAAGTATCACCCTATGTTTGGGTCTTATACTTGAAACGCTAGTTATTCTATATTTAGCCTGCTACTCGCTCGGTACTTGTACTGACCCCTTCGGGGGGCCCCACCATTTTCAGGTTGAAGCTAGAGCTTGCTACTTGCACCTTCTCACGGGTGATATCAAATCAGGGAGACGTGGTTCGTGCTTCCTTATTTTCTTTCAAACTACCGAACACTTGCTCATGGATATTTGTTTTACTACAAACTATTTTTGGGGCTTGCATGCCCATGTTGTCGGCCGGTTGTGGCCCATGACTTACCGTTGAATATTTCCGCTATTCATTGGTTTAATGTGATGTTGTTATGTATGTTTACTACTGAGTATGGATGGATTGTTTTCTCGAACGCCTTGTGTAATTAAGTGAGGTTGACCCGTGGGTGACGTCACTTAGTTATACGGCGGTTGTACACGCGCTTGGATTGCGGTCTGGGGCGTGACAATTAAGTGGTATCAGAGCCATCTCAGTTCTAAACTATATAATCAACCTCTCACAAAAGAATTTGCAAAAGAGTTTTTACCGAAAACCATGAGCATTGTATTTTGACGTTTATAGGACTATTGGTGCTTAAGTTGCAAGGCCTCTAATTGTTAAGACGGTACCCTTAACAATTGGTATGGTAGTGACTTGGGCCAATACGTGTCTGTAACGTTCTTCCGTCAGTTGACATTTATAGGAGTCTAATGGCTCATCCATATTTCTTTCAGAAATAGAGGGCAGGCGAATGAGGACCAGGAACAATCCGAGGGGGCAGGCGCCGGTAGTATCCCAAAGGGGAAGCCGGGCTGCATCTCGGGGTTCGAGAGGAGGCCGTGGAGGCCGTGGAAGCCGTGGAGGTCATCAAGCTCAATCTGTGAGTGATGGCCATGTAAGCTCGGTGTATGAAACCAACACCGAGGACTATGACTCAACCTACGTTCCAGAAACGGAGCATGAGGAGACCCCGTATGATGGGGGGGACACATACACCGATGATGACGATGAGAGTGATGCCCGATTCGCCCAGATGGGTGAATTACTTGAGTGGTATCAAAAGGAGAAACTGAGGAGAGACCTTAGGCGCCAAGCGAGGCGTGGCTCTCGTGGTGGTTCGGGTCAAGGAAGCCGGGGAGCTTCCGTGGCCACCCCAGCGGCGTCACAAGGTGGGCGTGAAGGAGGTTTTGTTGTGAGAATCTCCAAGTACCTCAAGGAGGCTAGGGCCTTGGGGTGTAGGTCCTTTGACGGCACCGGTGACATTACCGTTGCCGCCGATTGGATTAAGAAGGTGAAGGATGCATCAAGAGACATGCAAATCACACCGGACGTGAAGTTGACTGTCGCTTCACGGCTACTTGAAGGGATAGCTTCTACGTGGTGGGAGAGCGTGGAAGGGAAGTACCATGGGGAAATAACATGGGCGGACTTTGAGCTAGAGTTCTATGCTCAATACTACTCCGAGTACGAGGTGAATGTGAAACGGAGAGAGTACACTAACCTCAAACAGAAAGAGGGCGGCACAGTTAAGCAACTGGAACAAGAGTTTAGAACCTTGGCTAGGTTCTTGCCGGAGTACGCGGTTGATGAGAACCGCATGACGGAGCACTTTTGGGATGCCCTACTCTTGGACATCCGTGACCGAGCTACGTACTCGCGCCACATGACCTTCAGTGAGGTGGTGGAGCAGGGCCTTCTCGGGGAGGCCCAATGGAATGAGAGAAAAGAGAGAGACGCCGAGGAGGCGAAAAAGAGGAAATGGCAAAGTTCGGGGCCACCCGAGCAAGCACGAAAGGATAAGCACGGTGGAGGTGGCGGTTCGTTCAAGACACCGGCACCACCGGCAAAGAAGAACAGGGATGCTCGGTGGCATGCATCCTCCTCACAAAGGACGGGGCCTCCAAAGTGTGCCAATTGTTCGAAAAATCATTTTGGGAAGTGCAATGCACCCCCAAGGTGTTATCAATGCGGGAACACGGGCCACATGAAGGCAAATTGCCCACAATTAGGGGGAGGAGGAGCTTCGGGATCCGGAGGAGGAACCATGACGGGAAGAAACCGTGCGGGACCGTCAAACGGCGGTACGGGAAGAGGCGGCGCGTCCACAAGCCATGCCGCGTCCGTAAATCAAGGCGGGACCCAAGCACGAGTGTACGCAATGACCGAGGCGGATGCGCGAGCAAACCCGGACTCCGTTGCAGGTAATACACTTATTTTCCTATATTTCTAGGCTTATTTGGGTCATATGAGTCATTGGGTTTGGGTGCGGGCCACCCCGGGGTCAAACCCCGCGAATTCGGGGCGAAACGGGCTAAAAACAACTACGCGCGATCGCGCGTACCTACAGACGCACGACCGTGCGTGCGAGGCAGTAGCCTCTGGCCGTTTTCCGCGCAGACGCACGCCGTGCGTGCAGGTAAGGCACGCCGTGCGTAGGACGCACGATCGTGCGTGACCAGCTACGCACGATCGTGCGTAGCCGGCAGTGGCGGATTCCGGGTTTCTCACGCACGCACGACCGTGCGTGCCACCCAGGCACGCCGTGCGTGGACCCCAGGCACCCGAAAATTGATTTTTCGCCCCGTTCTTCTACGTTTGGACCCCCGTTTGATTCCAAACATTAGTATGAACCAAATAACATCCTAATGATGTGTAAAAACCTTAGAAAATGTATCTTACATGGTGTACAAATGTAGGAACATTAAAGATCAATGGTAGGTGTGCGAGGATCCTCATCGATACCGGGGCACAACGCTCATTTGTGAGTGAGGCGTTCGCCGAGGGCCTTGACGTGCCATTGACACCTATGACGCAAACATTGCTAGTCTCCACACCGTTAGGAGACGACGTGGAGAGAAATCATTACTATCCGTCGTGCGAGGTGGAAGTGACGGGTCAACCTTTGACTTGTGATTTCGTACCTCTAAGCATGTTGGAGTTCGATGCAATCCTAGGAATGGATTGGCTCGAGAAACACCATGCTCGAGTAGATTGCTACACCAAGGTGTTGGAGCTCGAGGATGATCAAGGAAACACACTATGTTTCGAGGGAGATCGGGGGAAATCTAATGCTTGTATAATATCCGTGATGAGAGCACGGAAGATGATGAGGAAGGGATGCCACGCATACCTTGCCTACGTGGTGGACGATACCAAGAAGGAAGTCGACATCAAAGATGTACGGGTCGTGTGCAAATACCCGGATGTCTTTCCCAAAGACCTACCGGGGCTCCCACCCGATAGAGAGATAGAGTTTGTAATCGAAGTGGAGCCGGGAACCAAACCCATTTCGATTCCCCCTTATCGAATGGCACCGGCCGAACTCCAAGAGTTGAAGGTCCAACTACAAGAATTACTGGACAACGGGTTCATCAGACCCAGTCATTCACCGTGGGGGGCACCCGTACTCTTCGTGAAGAAGAAGGATGGTACACTAAGAATGTGTATTGACTACCGACAGTTGAACAAGGTCACAATCAAGAACAGGTATCCCTTACCGAGGATTGATGACTTGTTTGATCAACTTCGGGGGGCAATAGTGTTCTCAAAGATTGATTTGAGGTCGGGGTATCATCAGTTGAAGATCAAGGAGAGCGACATACCTAAGAGTGCATTCCGCACTAGGTATGGTCATTACGAGTTCCTTGTGATGTCATTTGGTTTAACCAACGCACCGGCAGCATTCATGGACTTGATGAACCGTGTGTTTAGTGAATACTTAGATCAATTTGTGATAGTATTCATTGATGATATCTTGATATATTCCAAGAGCGAGGAGGAGCACGAACATCATTTGAGGCTTATACTTGACCGGCTAAGGGAAAAGCAGCTCTTTGCCAAGTTCTCTAAATGCGAATTTTGGCTTAAGGAGATTGGGTTCCTTGGTCACGTCATATCCGGTTCGGGCGTTGCTGTGGATAACGCCAAGATAAAGGCTATCATGGATTGGGAGAGACCCAAGAATGTGAAAGAGATACGTAGTTTCCTTGGCTTAGCAGGATACTATCGTAAATTTGTTGAAAAATTTTCTGTATTGGCGTCTCCATTAACGAAGCTCACAAAGAAAGGGGCCAAGTTCATATGGGACGACAAGTGTGAGAAAGGGTTCCTTGAACTGAAGAAACGACTTACCGAAGCACCAGTCCTTGCCCTACCCATACAAGGGATAGGGTATGATATATACAGTGATGCTAGCATCCAAGGGCTTGGATGTGTACTGATGCAAAACGGTAAAGTGATTGCCTATGCTTCAAGGCAATTGAGAAAGCACGAGGTGAACTACCCTACCCATGACCTAGAATTGGGGGCGGTAGTGTTTGCACTGAAAATCTGGAGGCATTATCTCTACGGGGAGACATGTCACATTTTTACAGACCATAAGAGCTTGAAGTACGTATTCACTCAGAAAGAGTTGAATATGAGACAGAGGAGATGGATGGAGTTGATCAAGGACTATGACTTGATCATCGATTACCATCCAGGAAAGGCCAACGTCGTGGCCGACGCACTGAGCAGAAAGAGTACGTCGGGGACGCTACTCACATGCCTACAGGCATTGAGGGCGCGCGTGGAGGTGTCCACGTGCGGGGCTCTCATTGCTCGATTCGAGGTTAGGCCCACCCTATTGGGCGAGATTAGTCGAAGTCAGGCCATTGATGAGGAATGTCAGAAAATCCGCGAACGGATCCTTGAGGGGCCCGTCGAGAATTTTCGGGTACGTGATGACGGTCTTTTACTATTTAAGGATCGTGTGTGCATACCAAAGAATGAGGAGCTCCAGAGAGCTATACTTGAGGAGGCTCATTCTTCAGCATATGCCATGCATCCAGGGGGTACTAAGATGTACCGAGATCTGAAGGAAAGTTACTGGTGGTCAGGCATGAAAAAGGATATTGCAGAGTTTGTGAGTCGATGCCTTACTTGCCAGCAAGTTAAGGCAGAGCATCAGCACCCAGCAGGGCTCTTACAACCACTCACCATCCCAGAGTGGAAGTGGGAACATGTGACCATGGACTTCGTGGTGGGGCTGCCACGAACAGTGAACAACTACGATGCAGTATGGGTAGTGGTTGATAGGCTCACCAAGAGTGCACACTTTCTGCCTATCAACATTACTTATCCCCTTGAAAGATTGGCCAAGCTATACACGGAGGAGATCGTGAGATTGCATGGAGTCCCAATATCCATTGTCTCGGATAGGGATCCACGATTCACATCCCGATTTTGGCCAAAGTTTCAAGCATCTTTGGGGACTAAACTGAAGTTTAGCACAGCTTTTCACCCACAGACGGATGGACAGTCCGAGCGGGTGATACAGATTCTGGAAGACATGCTTAGGGCATGTGCTTTGGAGTTCCAAGGAAGTTGGGACAAGCATTTGGCTCTAGTGGAGTTTGCTTATAACAACAGTTATCAAGCAAGTATCGGCATGCCTCCATATGAAGCATTGTATGGGAGGAAATGCAGAACACCGTTGTGTTGGGACGAGGTTGGCGAGGCCAAACTCGAAGGGATAGAACTGGTTGAGATCACCAAGGCCAAGGTAAGGATCATTCGGGATAGACTGAAGGCCGCTCAGGACCGACAGAAGAGTTATGCTGACAAACGGCGGAGACCGTTGGAGTTCGAGGTCGGTGATGAGGTTTTTCTAAGGATTTCTCCTTGGAAGGGCATCATCCGATTTGTATCGAGGGGGAAGCTTAATCCCCGATACATTGGTCCATTTGAAATCCTTGAAAGGATTGGAGTTGTGGCTTATCGTCTCAAGTTGACACCAGAGCTTGAGAAGATACATGACGTGTTTCATGTATCGATGCTCAAGAAGTACATACGAGACCCATCTCATATTCTTGAGAAACCACCGGTAGAGATCCGTGAGGATTTGCAATATGCGGTAGAGCCGGTGATGATAGTAGGTCAACAAGTGAAGAAGCTTAGGAATAAGGAGATTCCTATGGTAAAGGTTCTTTGGCGGAGTGATCGAGTCGAAGAAGAAACTTGGGAGACCGAAGTCTCAATGAGGGAGCAATACCCGTTTCTTTTCGATTAGACACACGGATTTCGGGGACGAAATCCCAAACAAGGGGGGGTGAACTTGTAACACCGTCCCCAAATGTATTTACTTTCAAGTAAATGATGTAATAAACCTTATGGAATGATTTACGAATTTACGAAGTTGTAAATTTTTATTATTCTTTCGCGTGAATAGTAAATTGCACGTGGGGCCCACACCGGGAGCGGGGGCCGCCCGACACTCCCGAGACCACATATTTTATTCATCTTGGTCAAGATAATATTTATATAGTGGTGGACATTTCGTTTGAGTCGTGGAAAGGCGCAGAGTTGACCGATTGGGGAAAAAGAGACCCAATTACCGGTACCGACAATTTAACAGATAACAGCCCGAAAATGAATTTCGGAGGCTTATAAATTAAAGTTGGGGAATGTACATTCATTATACATGTCATAATGAGTAAGAGCACATAATATATTTTATTTGAACCGATAAAATAAAATATATTTAAAGCAGTCCGAAAAATACAACTTTCGGGACAAATTGTACACTTCGGGACAAAAAGGGTTGACCTCCCACATGAGTGGGGGCCAACCCACGATTTTTGCCACTCAAATTGAGGGCTGGGTCGGTTGGCATAGAGAGGAGAAACATGGGGGATGGTGATGTGATCCTTTTAGCATCAAACAAAGAGGAGGTGGCCCCATCCACACTCATTTGCTCTATGAGACAAATGAGTATACCTCACCCCTTCCCCTCCCTCATTTTCGGCCAAGGAGAACCAGGGAGAGCAAGAAAATCCACCCAACCTCCTTCCTCCATTGTTGAAGAAAGCTCATCAAAGAGGAATCACCCAAAAAGGAGCTAAAGTGCTAAAAGTGTGAAATAATTAAGGTAATGACCTTATTATAACTTTTTCTTTATTTTTCTTCTACCATATGAGATATATATCATGTGAAGAATCCTTAAGAGGGTTCTACATGTTATAAGTATGGATTAATGGGTTGGAAAGTGATTCTATGTCCAAGAACGGACTTAGAAGCCAAAACGACCGGTTCACCGGAAAATAACCTTTTTGAGGTTATTTGTATTAATATGGGTTTTATGATTATAAAACCTTGTTAGGGACTTGTAAAGGGTATTTCAAGTGATTTCACAAAGTTGGAAAAGTCGCCGGAGTAGTCGCCGGAGTTGACCAAAAGTCGCCGGAGTTTCACCGGAGTTCAACCAAGAAGGGTAAAACTTCAAAACGCTAGCTCAAGGTGAGTGGACGGCTTAATATCTTATAACTTTTGGGTTAATTATGAGATTACCTAAATAAATGTTATATGTTTTCATAATGATGTTTAAAAGATAATTAAACATGTGATTAGCCAACATTATCAAGTTGTATGAAAAGAATTAATTGATTATGCATGAAATATGATATGAGCGATTATATAAAATGCACATTAGCTTGAAGTGTAAAAGAAGCTCAAATGAGTATTATTGACTTAATTATATGATGATTAAGTTGATGTGAACAAGGCTTGAATTGGCGGTCAACGACAACGTTGACCGATGGATGATGGATTAATTAATATCGGTTGATGTTAGTTAATTATACATTTATTTAAATGCATGGCTTTGCATGGATTGTGATACATAAGATTTATGTATTGGATTAGTTATGAGTAACTAAGGATGATATAGACTCTATCTAGGTTGATAGGAGGTTGATCATAGGAAAACTTGGTGGAGGACCCTAGTACTTAAAAAGTACTTAACACTCAAACTTGGTGGAGGACCCTAGTACTTAAAAAGTACTTAACACTCAAAACTTGGTGGAGGACCCTAGGACTTAAAGTCCTTAACACTCAAACTTGGTGGAGGACCCTAGTACTTAAAAGTACTTAACACTCAAAACTTGGTGGAGGACCCTAGGACTTAAAAGTCCTTAACACTCAAACTTGGTGGAGGACCCTAGTACTTAAAAGTACTTAACACTCAAACTTGGTGGAGGACCCTAGGACTTATGAGTCCTTAACACTCACAAACCGGTGGAGTATCCAAGGATTATGATCCTAAAACTCATAGATTGTGATATACAAGTAGGGACAAGGAGGAGTCCTATACACTCATAGGTATATGGGTGGGTTGGGGTTTTTAGTCAAGAATATTGACTATTACTATTTTCCCGAATAAAATGGTGATCTACGGATCGGATATTTTCCAAGTATATATATACTAATAAGTATTTCATAACTTGGGGGAAAGATTATTTATTTAAGTATCACCCTATGTTTGGGTCTTATACTTGAAACGCTAGTTATTCTATATTTAGCCTGCTACTCGCTCGGTACTTGTACTGACCCCTTCGGGGGGGCCCACCATTTTCAGGTTGAAGCTAGAGCTTGCTACTTGCACCTTCTCACGGGTGATATCAAATCAGGGAGACGTGGTTCGTGCTTCCTTATTTTCTTTCAAACTACCGAACACTTGCTCATGGATATTTGTTTTACTACAAACTATTTTTGGGGCTTGCATGCCCATGTTGTCGGCCGGTTGTGGCCCATGACTTACCGTTGAATATTTCCGCTATTCATTGGTTTAATGTGATGTTGTTATGTATGTTTACTACTGAGTATGGATGGATTGTTTTCTCGAACGCCTTGTGTAATTAAGTGAGGTTGACCCGTGGGTGACGTCACTTAGTTATACGGCGGTTGTACACGCGCTTGGATTGCGGTCTGGGGCGTGACATTTGCTCTTTTTGGTGTCTGTCCATTTTTTTTGGGGGGGAGGGTAGATGGGAATTTCGAATTTTTGTGAATGAGTGGCTTTGGGTTGGTTTTGTGGATATAGAAGTGTAGAGGGTGAAGAGGAGTAAAAAATATGAAGAGGAGGAAAAAAAAATATATGGTGTTAATTTATGGATTTGGTTGAGTGAGGGGTGAGTTTTTTTTTTTTTTTTTTTTTTTTTGGGTGTTTAACGGTAGAAGAATTGGAGAGGGTTTTTGATTTGGGGAAGAAGAAGGATGAAGACGATTGAGCCCGTCTGGTTTTGAGGTCAAAATTCGACGACCCGGTCGGGTGGTGTATGTGACCCGGTCGGGTGTAAAGGTTCTCCGGAGGCAGTGAGTTTTTTTTGTCAGTTGACCCGGTCGGGTGGTCTGTTGCACCCGGTCGGGTTCTTTACTCCAGGGGCCGGGTTTTGTAAAAACTTACTCGCCCGGCCGAGTTTGATGTTCCAGGGGCCATTTAACAAATACACCCGGCCGGGTGAAATGAGGGACCCGGTCGGGTGTACTGCCCATTATTATTATTTTTTTTATTTTTTTGAAAAGGTTTTCCCACACACAAAAAAAAAATGTAAATAAACACAATAGAAACTTGGGTTGCCTCCCAAGAAGCGCCTTATTTAATGTCGTGGCACGACGTTTATTTTTATTTTTATTTTTTGCTTTATGTGGGATCGTGAATATCCCTTGTTTCATTCTTCCTCTTTGGCCTTTTCCAGTAAAGCCGTGATTTCTTCTTGGTTATCTCCTCTACCCTATGCTCAAGTTTTTCTTCCTCTTCAAAAAGTGAGGTTTTCTCAGCTTCTTTTTCAACAAAAATAGGTGATGTTTGTGGTTCAAAAACATTTAGAGAACAAAGGGATTGTTTTATTATTTGTTTTTTTGTAGAATCAAAGATGTTGAATTCTACTTTTTGGTCATCAAACTCTAAAGTTAATGAACCATTAGACACATCTATTTTTGTTTGGGCCGTTTTTAAGAAAGGTCTTCCCAAAAGGATGGGTGTAGCTTGGTTATCGGCTTCCATTTCAAGAATATAGAAGTCGACAGGGAAGACCAAATTTTCAACTTTTATTAGCACGTCCTCTACGACGCCCTTTGGGTATATGCTAGACCTATCCGCCAATTGAATTATCACCCCGGTTTCATGCATAGGGCCAAGTTTTAGAGACTTGTATAATGAATATGGAATAACATTGATTGAAGCCCCTAAATCTAACAAGGCCCTAGGAAATAAAGTGTCCCCTATTTTGCATGGGATAGTGAACATGCCTGGATCGTTGCATTTTTCCGGGAGTTTCCTCTGGAAAATTGCCGAGACACGTTCACTAACCTTGACCTCTTGTTTCCCTTTCAATTTATTCTTTCTTTTTATCGTGCATAGTTCTTTTAAAAACTTTGCATAACGGGGAACACTTTTGATTAGTTTAAAGAGTGGGATATTTACCTCACAATTGGCGAAGGTCTCGTAGATGTCCCGATCATTCTCCAACTTCCTTGTGTCCTTCAGCGCCTCAGGAAATGGAGGGAGTGGCTCATATGATGAAAGTGGAGGAAATTTTGTCTTCGTTGGTTCCCCCTCGTTGTGGTCAAACTCGTCATTGTTAACTTTTTCTTCAGCCTCCTTTGTTTGCAACTCCTTACCGCTCCTCGTCATGATCGCATTGACATGTTGTCTCGGGTTTTGCTCTGTTTGAGAAGGGAGTTTTCCCGATTCTTTGGCCTCTAGCCTACTCACAGCAATCGAAATTTGGCTAACTTGAGTTTCCAAATTTTGAATGCTTGACTTTGTTTCTTGTTGAAATTGCAAAACATTTTGTTGCAAAGTGCCCATGTTCGTAGCAAGAGCTCGAATCATGTCCTCCGTGGACATGTTAGAGTTGGAGCTTTGACCTTGATGATTTGGGAAGGATTGTTGAAAGGACTGATTTTGTTGTGGTTGAGGGTTCCCATATCTTAAATTAGGGTGATCTCTCCACCCGGGGTTGTAAGTATTAGAGTGTGGATCGTACCTCTTTTGTTGTTGGGTTTGGAAACCCAAGGCGTTGATTTGCTCTTCTTGGAGAGTTGGGCAAGAATCTGTTGGATGCCCTTGCTGTGTGCATATGCCGCAGACCTTGACCTCTTGGTTTCTAGGATTTAAAAGGAAATCCTTAACCAAAGAAGTCAAGCCGGCCATTTGACTTTCTAAAGATGAAGATGATTCCGCCGCGGCAACTTTACGGGTTGAGGACCGCCCGTTGTAATGCCTAGAGTTCTCGGCCAACTCTGAGATCAAGCTTGTTGCTTGTGAGGGAGTTTTGTTGACAATGCCGCCCCCACAAGCGGCATTCACCATTCTTCTATCATCATCAACAAGACCGTCATAAAAGTAGAGTATGAGGTCTTGCTCGGTGTAGCCATGATAAGGGCAGCTAGCACATAACTTTTTGAACCGTTCCCAATATTCATATAAGGTCTCATCATCTTTTTGATTAATGTTGCTTATTTGTTTTTTCAAAGATGATGAGATGGAGGCGGGGTAGTACCTTTCTAGGAAGCATTTCTTCATTGCCGCCCATGTATCTATGCTTCCCGAGGGAAGATAGAATAGCCAATCCTTAGCCGTGTCCTTCAGTGAGAATGGAAAGGCCCTCAGCTTGATTTGTTCTTCTGTAACATTATTTGGTTTCATACTAGTGCAAACTATATGAAACTCCGCAAGATGTTTGTTTGCATCCTCGCCCCTTAGGCCATGAAATGAAGGGAGTAGATGAATAAGGCCCGATTTGAGCTCAAATGTAGCACCTTCATCAAGAGTGGGGAAGGTGATACATAGAGGTTGTTGATTTAAGTTAGGAGCCGTGAGCTCCCTCAATGTTCTTGTTTCAAGAGCCATAGTTGTTGGCTCTTCGGGCTCGCTAGAATGAGAACTAGCACTTGATGATTCTCCCGAGTCGGTACTTGAGAATTTATTTTTCAATCGCTCGAGAGTTTGCTCTATTTCTGGGTTTGATTGGTAGGTGATCTCGTTTAGAGAACGATATTTAACCATACACTATAAAGCTCAGAAGAAATAGAAATCTTTATATGTAAATAATATTTTTTTTTTTTAAAAATAAAATAAAAAGAAAAATTAATTGCCTTTCCCCGGCAACGGCGCCAAATTTGACGTGCACTTTGTCACGGTGCGTCAAAATAAATTCAATACTAACACTTATACGTAGTATAGCGTAGTAGAGTTCGTATCCACAGGGAAAGGAATAATTCTCTTTTTATAGAACTAGTAAATAAAAAGGGGGGTTTTGGGATTGAATGATTTAACTTAATTAAACATAAAGATGAACAACTTAATTTAAAGATAAAAAGGACTTGGCATTGCTACTTTCCACTTGTTGATATATTTTAGTCGATCATTGTTATATCTATAACTAATCCCCTCTCGAATACTCAATCGAGGAGTATATCCAATTCATCGAGGGTAGTTATTAACAACGACCGTTCATTAATAACCCTTACTATTAGTCATGTATAGAACACCGCCATATACCAACTTAATAGTAGCATTTAATCTCTTAACTCCTTGATGAAATCAATTGAGATTGATAACCTCAACACAACGGTTTCGGTTTAACCAACAAAATTAATCCCTCTTAAGTTTATTAACCACGACCGTGCATTAATAAACCGAAGTTACTTACTTGTGAAACCATCAACGATTAACCATCGGTTCGTTGATCGTTTCTAGTAGTAATTAATGTCGAGATGTTAACTAATTGTCATCTTAGCAACACTCCCCAACATTAATATAGAGATAGATTAAGAGAATAATTAATATTCAAGGGAAGAAGTTAAGAAAATAACTCACAACTTTAATAATCAACAAGCTTCAAGAGCAACACCAAGAAATGGAAGTTTAGCTCCTCATTTGGAGACTAAACATGCTATAAAATATAAAAGAAATACTATTCTAAACTGAGCTTAAGAGTATGGAAGAAGGGATTATTAAAAGTGAAGGAAAATGGGGCTATTTATAGGTGTTTTTCAACACCTTTGGCCGGGTACCCGACCAAATAAAGTGCCCACCCGACCGGGTGCATGTCAAAATCAAATATCTTCCACGTTCTGGCGATCTTCGGCACGTTCTGGTGTTCCGGGTCAAGTCGGACCCGACCGGGTGAAATACCTCACCCGACCGGGTGATGTAATTTCCTGAGCAGTTTCGCATTTAAATTTCTCACCCGACCGGGTGCAATACCTCACCTGACCGGGTGATTGTCCTGGGCAGCCAAGAATTATTTTTCTTCACATTCAAAGTCTTCCTTTCCAACACCATAAATCCTAACTCTACTTTACAACTTACAAATGAGAACTAAAATACAATTACAACTAAAATCACACAAATGTTTATAAACTAAATAAAACGATAAACAATACACACAAATCAAACATAAAAACACACACTTATGCACTACTAATTAGTGCATATCAATGTATTTATGGATTCATGCATATTTAAATGGTTGAGGTAAACATGTTCACAAGGTATTTGTCAAAATGTCTAAAAGAAGCTACCATTAAATAGTCTAGCATAGAGTTGAAAAGTAATTGAAAGATGAAACTTAATTTGGAGTATGCTTAATATATGAGCAAGCCCAAACTATATTTGCATTTGACTTTCTAGTATATGTGTGCTTTTAGAATACATAAGTATACTAAATTATCAAAAAATTATTGCAAACCAGATTGACTACTCTTGAATGTTTTTTTTTGCCGGGAGTAATAAGTATTAACTACTCATATTAATATAGAAACACACTATTTATATTGCTGGAGTTTATACACGAAAAGAAGAACTTAATTTGTATTTGCCACTGCCCATCTATCATAGTTTAATGTATGGTAAACTTTCACTTCCTTTCAGTCAGACCAGTTTAATTAGTTTAATGTAGCTACCAATCTCTCATTTCATCTTAATATATGTGGTTTTTTCTTTTTTGAAGTTTTGAGCAGGTAAATATTTATATTTGAATAAAGTCACAAATTCTACATATATTGTGACTTCACTATGATGGTAAATTCTACAAATATTGTGACTTTACAAATATTGTGACTTAAAGTTGTCACCAACTTGAATGCAGATTTCATAGTTCATACATTGCTCTAGTTTTTTTTTGACAAAATATTAAGTTATTTGATTAAATAGCAATCTCATAGCACCTTGCTACCTTTTCTCTCTACCAATGTTACTTCAAGAGTTCAAGATATTTTAGCATAATGGAATTCAAGTGGTCTCTTCAAATTTTCTTTTACTTACATCATAAAATGTTTGTTTGTTTGTTATAATTTGCAACCGATATGACAGCCAATCATGGTGATGGAAGATAGTGAACCCGATATTCTCTAAAATGAAATTGGAGGAAAGTCAAGAGTACTCTTCAGAAAAAGAAATGAACGATTCACTTAAGCTTATATATGACTTATATATAAAAAGTATGCCATTCTCCCAACTGATATCATCTGATCTCCCAAATTTATACTAAACACCTTTTAATTCCTTGTTTTTCTTGTCAGAGATTTAGAAATAGTGATTTAATCTTTCAACTTATTGGTAATTTGTAGCTCTTAGAACCTTAATTTCATATCTTTCATTTTCTTCAATTATCAGTTCATGTTTTAACAGGTCATTTATATTAATAGGTTCTCCATACAAGCATAAATGACTATTCTTGAGGAGAAACAACCTCACTAAACCTTGTTCAGGTAAGTGACTTGTCTGTATAGCTTACAAGTATGTGCCAATGCTTAACACGAATCAAACATTGTATTTTATGGATGTTTTCTTGCTGATAGAAGTATTCTGAGTTTCTTAGTTTTTGTTTTTTCAGATTGATTTTTCTATAGATTGCAAATTTTGAGTTTTATTTTCAGGACTTCATTTTTTACAGATTGTTTGGGTTTGCTGGCTTTTAATTTTATAGATAGCATTGGTTTTATAAAACTGAAAGTATATATCAGTTTTTTCGACAGTTGTGTTGGTTCGTTCACTTTTGAGCATTGTTTTATCCTTAGAAGTCATATTGTTGCATAAATGTATTTATCATGTTAAACGTTTCAGGTTTAGTATCCTTAGAAGTCTTTTAACAACTTGAAGGATCTATACTATTACAATGGAAGTTGAATTGAATTCCGTTAACTAAACTTACAGCTCTTAGATGCTTACCAGGAATCTTCCAATAAGACGGAGGGAGCAGAGTATTTTCTTAAAGACGGAAAATTTATGCACACACAGAGAGTACCTTGCTGATTACAGGCAAAGAGCGGATGAAATGTAATAGGGAGAAAGAACAAGCATAGTGGTTGTCATCTTTTTCACTGCACACAAGGTTTGGTTTACTTTTATGAAAGAATTGAGGTATTTTTATACCATGTCAGGAGTATGACTGGTGATGAAGTCATGGCATTATTCAATTGCTGAAGCTGGAGGGGGAGAAAATGTTCCTTCTTCTTTTCAATGCAATTATTCAACGTCTTCATTTGATTATTTAGGAAGTCATATATTGCCATAACACTATAATCGTATCTCTCTATTGTACTACAGAGTATAAAAAACAATGACAGTTGAAATTCTTTTGCTACTACAGAGATTGGTCAAGCTTTTAGATTAAGGTTTTCTTTCTTCTCCCATGATATTTTGTGCACTAGAAACACTATTTGAGTTTTACATTATTTGAGTTTTCTTCCAGGTGTCTGAGTATGTCATGAAGAAACACTATAGACAAGAAGTGAATCCATATATACACCCTCCTCTGCCAATGATTAATGCTCGAAGTGAAGACCATTGCAGCTCTAGCTTGATTCGACCTCAAATTGTTCACATCGCAGCTTCATGTTTTTTTTACTTTATTTGTAATAGGTTTTAGTACTTGTACACAATTTGATTGGATATGGTGATACTTTCTTGGCATTAAAATGCAAGATTGTTGTTATGTTAATTTATTAATAAAAAGTTTGTTTGGTATTTCTATATTATTTACTATGGAGTAATATTTACCTTGTGAGATCACACTTTTATTAAGGATATATATATTATATGTGTGCATATATATATATATATATATATATATATATATATATATAATACAAGCATGTATGATACCAGTGTATCACTAAGATATATGATATCAAGGTGTCGTTAAATAATTCAATACAAATGTATCACTATATTTTATGATACCAGAGTGTCGTAATTTAGTGACACTTTTACAGTGACACTAAATTTAGTGTCACAACTCCCACCATTCGTTGACACTTTTTAAGTGTCACTAAAACTTTTAGTGACACTAATTTAGTGTCACTATAGACCATTTTTCTAGTAGTGACAAGTAACACATAAATCTGGACAACTTATCCCTTTTGCTCGAAGCCTATTTCGATTAGGGAGGCAATCCCGACAAACCCTCCAAAGAAAAAGGGAAATTTACCGGGATATGACTAAAACTCAATGAGTTTCTCAATCTATGACCTAACTAGTTTTTATACCTTTGTATGACCGAAAATCTAAAAAAAAAATAGAAAATACGTTTATATTTAAATGTTGAATGACGAAAATACCCTTATTTAAAATATGTGCATTTTGCCATAATTTCGTCCAATTAAAATTATTACACTTTATATTGCCTTTAATGCACAAAATTAATGCATGCCTTTACTGCACACCCGGTAATAATCACTGCACTTCCGCAAAAATTAATTCTCTTCTTATTCAATTGTGGAATTTTTTTTTATATTTAATGATTTTATTATTTTATGTCTAATTAAGTATATTGCATTTCATGATGATATCACCGCTCTGTGTTACTGCAATACCGGTGATAAACACTGCATGACAAACTTTTTAATGCATCCATTCACTGCTATGAATAATACTCTGTATATATTATGATGTTCACTGCCTATATTCACTTCACATATTTAATGCCCACAAATTTAGATACTCCAAATTTTGAAAATAGAAAAGCAAAAAAGAGAATTGTGGGCCTAAGCTAGTAGCGGATCCAAAGTAGGGATCCAGTCTCAACCCATTGAAAAAATACAAACCTAATTTTAATTTAAATGGGAGTATTCATCTACGGGAGAGCTAGTTGCGAGCCATCTATCACTCATGGAGGCGGAGGCGGCGAGTTGGAGCGCTGTTATGCAGTTAGATGGCGGCGGCTGGTTGGGGACGAAGGGCGGCACCTGCGAGGCAGCGGCTAGGTGAAGATGAACGGAGGCACCTGGGAGGCGGCGCACAGATCTTGAGACAGCAGCGATGCACAGATCTTGAGAGAGTAGCGGCGCACATGGCTCTCCGGCCATCTCTGCAGAGGTGTTAGGCCGCCAGCAACCTCCGAGCCAACCATCTTGCGTGAGGTTACTGGCGAGGCTTCCATACCCTGTGCGACTCGGCAACGTGACTCCTGGGCGGCGAGCTGGCGGCGGCGTGCAGCAGGGCAATGGTGGCAGGCGACCGTGCGGCAGTCGTGGGATCGGAGGCCAGTGTGCGGCTGGAGAAGATTACAGCTTATTAGGGTTGGGAAATGATTAGAAGATTAGGGTTTTATAGACATATTCTAAAAGGTATATTAGTCCATCAAATTTATTTATTTATTTATTAATTACGAAATTAATTAAATATTAGAAATTTAAATATTTTTTGGGAAAAAAACTAGTTAGGTCATAGTTTGATAAACTCAAGGAGTTTTAGTCATATCCAAGATAATTTTCTCAAAGAAAAACTCGTACCTTTTGTGGAACTCGCAGCTCCCAGATCTTCTTCCGTGGCCCTTGTACTTTAAGGTGATCCATATTCACCATTTTTTCCATGCAAAGTCGGTATGCGCTCCGGACTGAAAAATGACCATCCTTTGCAAATCTCCAAATCATAGCATCCTCGGAAGCTAATCTCATTAGTGGAATCTTCAAAATCTCTTCACTGTCCTGATCATGGTTTCTCACCAGCAGCCCTCTTCGTGATTAATAAATTGACTCACCTTAAGCCCTTGTAAGATACTGCCACTCGTGTGAATCCAAGGATCTTCAGGGTTGCGGAGCCATGGTTGATCCTGGACATGAACTCTCTCACCATTACCAATGCTCCATCGATAGCCCTCCCTTAGTAATGCTCGAGTTGACCAGATACTACGCCAAATAAAACTGAGGTTATGCCCAAGAGCCGCCCCTATAAAATCCCCATTTGGAAAATACTTGGCTTTTAGAGTACGAGAAACCATAGTATTCGGGCCTGAAAATAATTTCCAGCCTATCTTCCCAAGCATTGCGAGATTGAACCCATGGAGATGTCGAAAATCCATGAACGGAAGTGTTAAAGCTCTAATATTTGTTTACACTTTACATAGTCCCGTAACACCTTTTGTGTATGGTTGGTGCTCTTGTTTTTTATTTTGCTTTCTCATTTAAATAGTACGGAGTATTTATTGTTCCTATAAAATCTTACGCCATTTGCTCTTTATTCATTAAAATCCCCTCCAACTCTCCATTTCATTCGTTCACCTTCAAAAATTGTGTTCTTCTGTTTATTGGTTTTTCATTTTTTTCCTTATAAATTGAAATTAATGCATTCTTTTACTGTATTTCCCTTGACATTCGTTTGGAGTCCATTTGTTTTACATTCTGATTGTGCTTTTAATTTTAATTAATATAGTGTTTCTGTTTGCATGGATTTTTTTCCCTCCTACCATGCCTACGATGATCGGTCTTTGTGCTTTAGACTTCTACGCACGTCTACAAATTATCCCAATCAACAAATATCAACAAATTATTCTTATCCACTAGTATTCTAGTTCCCCTAAAAAATTGGTTCCAAATTCCGATCAAGAGTTTGTTTTTGCTTACCTGAAGTGCATCTTTCCTTCTAGTTTGAGCAAACAAATTAGTCAAAACAGGCTACTTGCTAGAAGGGATAGGAATTTCAATTAAAATATTAATAACCAAATTTGATTTAATATTGCTTAGTTTAGTATATTTATTTTATTTAATGGTTTTTCTTTGTTGATTTAAAAAAGAATGTTTAATTTTCTCATGAAATATTTAAATTTTTTATTTTTTAATATGTATGGTTGTTAAAATTTCGTATTCTTTTTTTACTGAACAAAATACATATTTTTGTACTAATTTTAAAAATATGCATTTTCAAATTATGCTCGCTATATAAAAATAACACTTATAATTTATGAGTTTAAGAATATAATTTAAATCCTTAGTTTGAAAATATTTCAAAATAAGTATTATTTTTTTGTATTGATAAATCCGATTTTTTTTGTGTTGTGGCTAACCAAAGGACTATCACATTGCTAAAAATGAATTAACTAGAAAAAACTGATGTGATAAACAAAACTAGAATGTATTTAGCTAATAATTATAGTTGTTCTTAAATCATTTACATTTAGCGAATCTTTAAGAACTACAATCATTTAGAAGTCGCACCTTACAAGAATTACAAACATATAATTTCTCCAAAGCTTTCCTTAGCACATAAGGAACTTATTACTACTCCGTATGAACTAATATTAAAGGTGAAACATACTAAAGGTATTAGCATATAATAAACTTATAACACATGATAAATGTGATGGGAAAAGGGGAAAAAGAGTAAAGGTCGAGTGTATTAGCATTCTTGTGTAAATCATGATAGGCCAAATGGTACCTACCAAACACCTAACCATCCTACCAAAACATAGTTGGCGCGAGACAAATAGACCCCTCATGTTCGCAAAAGGAAAAATCTGTTTGTACCCACTATTGTACCCATTTTTGTACCCACCTTGTCTGTGAGGAGTTTTCTTTTTGTCTGTGAATCCCGGTCATAGACAAAAATATGTCTATGAAGACATGGTGGGTACAAAAGTGGGTACAATAATGGGTACAACAAGAAGAATCCTTCGCAAAAAGACGTTAAAAGGAAAGGGAAACCCAAAAACCAGATCCTGACATTCAGTCACATTGTAGAATCTATACAATGCTCCGTCAATAGTAACGGCCTAATAAATAATGTGGCCTACGAACCATGTGTTTGGTTGTACGTAATTTGTACTCCGTATCAAATATCGGAATATTGTATGGGTAATTTGATGGTCTGATTTGGTCTGATCTGATAAATGTTTCGTCTTTGTGTATTATATAATCGCGGAAGTCTGGTCTTAACTGGATATGTTCTACATAGTGTTGGACTCGGGCCGGGTGGCCCGACCCGGAACCGGCTCGGGACCGGTACTGTGCTGAACCGGCCCGGCCCGATAGCGCCAGTGACCGGTCCGGGTAGGCCCGGCCTGGGGGGTTCCCGGTGCGGGCTCGGGTCACCCAAAAGCCGAGCCGAACCGGCCCGGCCGGTTCGGGCCCGGTTCCGGGCTTTTTAATTTTTTTTTTTCAATTTTTTTTAACTTTTCGGGTTGGGCTCGGTATTTTGGGCCATTTGGGGTGGGGTTTGGGGTTTGGGGGTGAGGGGGGGGGGGGTTAATTAGGAAAAGGAAAAAAAAACGACCCGAGGCCCGGACCGGCCTCGGAGGCTACCCGGGCCTGTCCCGGTTCATCCTTCCCAAAAAAAGCCCGGCCGGGCCCGGCCCGGAACCGGCCCGGGTCCATGATAGTTCTACACAATTGTCCAAATCTAATCTTATATAAATGGATATAATCTAATTATTGAAATCTGATATGCATTAATTTGATTGTTCAAGTTTAATATGGTATTGAAATCAAATCAATTAAAAACATTTGTCATCCATATGTGCCTATTAAATTAAATGAAAGTATGAAATTATCATGCATTTACCATACTCGCAAAATAAAAAAAAAAAAAAAAAAAAACCATACTCGCATCCACGCACACCAGCTCTTGATCAGTCCATCATCTATTGCAACTACATTCACATTACTACATGTGAATATCTATAAGTTAGTAAACATATCAGCTAATAACATACTATCAAAACTGGAATATGCACATCTATAATTACTTTTGAACAAAAATATTACACTTTACATAAAACATTATCAAATATCAATTCTCCTTACAAGTTATGGAATTACAAAAGATAAGTATTCCACTTTAAATAAAGCATCATCAATTACAAATTTTCCCTTACAAAATATAAGTATTCCTTTACAAAATTTCCCTTGCAATGAATAAGTCTGTTTAACTGCTTACAAGTTACTCTGCATGAAATTACAAAAGTTAAGTATTCCATTTTGAATAAAGCATCATCAATTACAAATTTTCCCTTGCAAAATACAAATATTCCATTACAAATTTTCCCTTGCAATGATAGGTCTGTTTAAGTTCTTCCATCGAACACTTCTTCAGTATTAATAATCTTTCTAACTTCTTCACAATCACAAAAGAAAACAAAATTTATGAAATGTAGGTAGCAAAAAGCTGTAACAGAACAATAATAATAATATAAACACACGGATTTTGGAATAAGAGACGCACACATATATTAATATTATGTTTTACTAATTTATTTGACTTGTATCCTAAACAAAGCTATCGATCAAAACAAAAAATAGTTAGACAATAATATGTGAATAAACAAAAACAAAAATGTATTGCTAGAAAAGATTTAACCTTTTCTAACAAACAAACAAATAACGATAAAGAAAATAAATACATTAAATATATTTTGGAAATGCTCACATTTATAGCCAACTGACACTTATAGAAGAACTCTTTACTTTGAGGTTTCATTTATTATGTGCACGTTTTTAACCCTTTTATTTTGTTACTGTTATAACATTAATTAACAATTTTAACCAAATTCAATAAATAATTAATCCTCAACGGAAAAATAGCAATATTCCAATCATACCCCTGATGCGGCCTGTCACTTCCCTGTTTTACCCTTCCATCCTATGCACTGTTCTGTGGGCCTCGTCTTCTGCTTCCCAGCTCTCAACGGGCAGGGGCTCTGTACGGGCAGCACCATACAATTGTACTGCAAACAGAGTGAGCTGCTCACCGGAATTTCTGCCGCCGGTTTTATTGGGATTCCGGTCAAATAATTATGCTGTAAGTAAAGCACCTGAATATCTGAGGAGAGTAACCGGTCAACGATGCTCGTCGGTACCTCGCCGGTGAACCGGTTATTGTTGAGGTAAAGATTCTGGACCGTCGAGAACAATGGGGATATCTCGCCGGAAAACCGGTTGAAGCTGAGATCGACGGTGGGTATGGCAACCTGGCTGTTTGGGCTAACCGGGCCGAAAAGCTTGTTTCTTTGGAGCTGGAGATTGGTAATTGGTAAACTGAATATGTTCCCCGGGATGGTTCCGGTGAACCAGTTCGAGCTCAGGTCGAGATAATTCAGCCTATTTAATTGGTTCAGAACCTGATCGACCGGTCCGGTCAGCCGATTCCATGACAGAGATAGATACTGAACGGACGGGGGGAAGGCATTCGCCGGAAGAGGACCGGAAAGGTTGTTGTGTTTGAAGTCAACTCTGGTCAAACTCTGAGAGGAGAACGGCGGGACGGCGCCGGAGAGATGGTTGTGACTGAGAATGACATTGGACAGAGCCGGCAACGACCCGATGACCGGAGAGATGTTCCCGGTGAACTGGTTGTAACTGAGGTCAAGCGTTTGCAGGCTCCGAAGCTGGCCAAGCGCCGCCGGAATCTCGTCGGAGAGAGAGTTCCGGCTGATTCCAAGAAACCTGAGGTTCTTCAACTGCGAGAGAGTTTCCGGCAAAGTCCCATTTACCCTCCCCGGAGTAACACTGAAATCCGTAAGACCAGAAAGCTTCCCAATAGCCGGGTCAATCCGCCCGGTCAATCCCGGAGACCCGGCTCTCGGGTCGCCGAGATTCAACGCAACCACCTTATCTCCGTCGCAGAAAACGCCGGCAAAGTTACAGGGATCCGAAGTGAAATCCCAGGAATCGAAGTACTTGGAACCGGGCAAATCACTCAAGCTCTTACGAATGGCTTGAAGAGCCAAGAAATCGACTGGGTCGAGAATCGCAAGAACAGAGGAAGTCCACCGGAGAAGACAAACGGCGAGGACTAATCTCATCATTGCTGCCCAATAAATTTCAGGAATCAGAGAGATGAAAAGGGAAGAAAGGGATGCTTTTTTGTGTCGTTTCTGTTCTTCTTCTGGGTTATGGAGAGAAATGAAAGATAGAGGAAGTGCAATAACAGAGTGTGGCGGAGAAAAGCTGGATGATTCACTGGCGCTGGTGGATTAAGAACTGTTTCCGAGATTTGCTTCGTTCGAGGATAAACGGTTGTCCGAGCCTACGTGGGCAACCGAAGCTGGATATCTAAGTGACAGATAAGCAAGCACAAGTACAGTTGACGAAGATAGCCACGTAACCTAATGCTTGCTATTTTCGGCCCAAATGACCAAACCCAAACATGTTATAATGATCCGTTGGTCTTTAGTATGGATTTATCATTTTACGGATAATCCTTACATATTTTACTCTAGGGGTAATTCCTACATAGGAGCTAATAAAAATTAAATTACAAAAATAGTCATAAAATTTTAAATTCTCATAAAAATATGAGTAATTCTGCGTATTCAATCTTTCCCTACTTTTATAAACTTTTGAATAATAGAAACATAAAAATAGAAAATAAAAACGTAAAAAATACTGTAAAAATCTGGAGGCTTATGCCAGCGCCTCATTTATCTTCCAACACCGTCAATTCTAGTCACCACAAAAATTGCCAACTTGCATTAAGAATGTCACCCCAAACAATGACAATTTTAGAGCATACCTGATATTTTAAGAGAGAATTCCCAATACATGATTAAATTATGATAAAGGGGCATAAATATGAGTAGTTATTTAAATTTTTCAAAAAAAAAGTTTTTTTATTATAAATGACAAAGAATACCCTGCCACTGCCCCTGCTACAGTGCTGTCGTCTGCCGTTTGTATATATGTTAGATTTCTGCCAACAATGTACTACCACCGATGGTCGCCTAAGCTCTGGCGAGGCCAAAAATATCCAGAATTTATCTACCATCCACCGGCGCTCGCTGGAGCTCTACCACCGCCACTACTAGACTGCTAGCCACCAACTGACTGGCCTCTACAAACAGAATGACTTGATTATCCAAAAGGACTAGGGGATTATTAATTATATTAATTAATTTAATTACGGGTATTAGGGATATAAATTAATGTTTACTTCTATTTAGAGAAGTTTACAGGAGAACACCTATTTAGGGAAGAGTGATATGTGTTACTCTTATTAATGTCAATTACTTCATTTTTGAAAGAGTAATAATGTCATTTTGCAGAGAAAGTTAGAATTTTCATACAAGATTATATTTTTCAGGCACTCAGAAATGACAGTGCAGAGAGATAGCAGCAGAGACCTGCATATATTTTAAAATTATATGTCTTTTATTTAGTTTTTTATTTATAAGTTTCTATATTTTTTATTGTTTATTTTCTAACTATTTTATTATAATTAAAAAATATTATTATTTTACTATAGATAACTTTTCTTTATTTTTATCATGAATAAAAATATGATTTCCTTATTAGATTACAATACTTTATTTTGAGAATATATAAAATATAGCCTTTCTTTTGCACTTTGAATTTTTTTTCTCCTATTTAGAGTAGAGCATTAGCTTACGATTTATCAATGAAATTATCACCATTATTTAGAAAATGGATGTGCATATATATTCTAAATAAGTTACTGAAATAATTTTTCAATAATCTTTTCCATATAAAACAAATGGTTACAATGGTCAAAATTAACTATTGTTGAATTCTAAGAGCTTAGGTGAAAAAATTAACAGAAATGAATGAATTTCTTGGTAATCTAATCAAATATTCCTCGGTCAACTTTCCATTTATGGTCAACTCAACCATAACTAATTAACTATAAAGTTAATTATTTTGTCAACGGTCAACTTAACTTCTACCAAGATTCTTAACCCGTCGTGTTCAGTTCGTATACCATACAACCGTCTCACCATGAGCACCGTACTCCCACTCCCAAAACGATGTAGTTTTGGACAATTTTAAAGAAAAAATTCGCGTGAACAGTACACGCGTGTACAATGACATTTTTTTGTCCCAGTAACATAAATGGTGTAACTCGCGTGTAAAGATATGTAACTCGCGTTATTGATCAATGTAACTCAAGCTCATCCAAAATGTAACTTGTCAAATATTGATTTCAATGTAAATAATGAAAAAAGAAGAGTCTAATTACACAATTGTTTTAGGTAAAACGTGAATATGTTTTGTTTTTAATATCATGACTATAAAAAATAATTTTTTTTAGAAAAGATCATTTTTTTGTTTCAATAGCAGGGGTTGATTTTTTAATGTAACTCGTGTTATTACAAATGTAACTCATGTTGATACCAAATGTAACTTGTGTGTATACAGAATGTAACTTGTTGGAAAGTTGAACAATGATTTTTTTTGTGTGTTTGAGATATTATAAACATTGATTTCAATGTAAACAATGAAAAATTGATCCTAATAGCTTAATTACTTTTTATAAATAGTGAATATGTTTTATTTTTAATATTAGGGCAATAAAAATGATATAGCTAGAGTTTATTCAGTGGTGTAACTCGCATACATTAAGATGTAACTCACGTATATTTAGATGCAACTCGCGTACATTAATATGTAACTTGCGCAGAAGAAGTGATTTCATTGTTTAGGAGCTGAATGATGGAATATACTTATTTTTAGATTTATAAACTTTTTGTTATGCATTGATAGAGAATAAAAAGAATAGATTCAATTATTATGTGGATTAATAAAATATGCGTTTTATGTGGATTAATAAAATATAAAATGTATTACAATACACTTATTTTATGTGGATTAATAAAATTTTGTAATAATTTGGTAAAGAAAAAAATGTAAATTCATTTATATTTTAATTAGTTAAAGATAAAGATGAGTAAAATCACAAATAAATTTTTAGTATTTGATGTTAAAGAGAAAAGAATTAAAGAAAATAGAAAAGAACAATAAAGAGAAAGGAAGTACTTACCTGGGAGAAAGAAGACTTCCGTAATTTGGGCTTTGAACTCTCGGAAGCATGAGAAAAGCAAAAACCGGTACCGTATTAGCAACCGGCATACCATGTGCATGGTACGCTGGTTGCACCGTATAATTTGCGTGTCGTGTTAGACTTATGTATCTAGATTAGAAAGATTATAAAATTTAAGATAATATTTATATCTAGAATCACATAATTATAAACTATTTAGAAATCAATAAATTTATTATTGACACGAGTCAAGACTATTAAATCATAATAGGATGTTAAAGCTAGAAAAATATTAAAAGGGATAGTGGATTTATTTTGACATGTTCTGGTCATAAGGCTTATAATGCATGTGTAAATATCTTAATCACTAGCTTAGGGTTAAAAGTAAAAATGTATAATTCTAATGTCTGAATATTTTTTTTAACACAGTAAGAAAAGAACCAATAAGCATGATGCAGACTTGAATCATGAATGCAACAATAATGTTTTGACCAATTATGTTATGGAAGTTGGCAAGCATATTTTAGAAGATACTCTGTATATTATTAAGGTGACAACTCCGGTACCTTTCTAAAATATGGGGTACTGTACCTATCATTAATTTGATTGGACCACATCACTTTATCATTTTTAATTTAGATTTAAATAATTCAACTGCTACATTCTCATTAATTCATGTGGATAAAGGCATGGTACCTTATGAGTACCATAGAATCTACCTATTATTAATTCTATTCATGATATGTAATCTCTTATTTTATGACCCTATGATATGTAATATACCTTATTTTAGAGTCTACTCTTGTATATATATCTATACGGTTGTACTGCTGGGCATCGCATAAGAAGAACAAGAATAACAATATAATGTTATTTCCTCATACATCTTTCTTGTTTATCAAGTTACTCGTAAATACCCCAATTCAATACCTTGTGAGCCAAACTTTGAAGAGTCTTCTCCTTAAATTTTATTCCCAAGTTAAAAAGAAATTACTAGTCCAGACATGTTAGATCAATAGATCTTACTTTTCACCCTAAGAACATGTCCAGTGGGACGGTCAAAGTAATTGATACCAGATAAAAACAATGTGAATATACTATTATATTCATTGAAAAATGTTTGATTAAAAAATTGTTTTTGGACTTCAGTTTAGACTTTAGACTTAGAGTCGTCACCTTTTAAGGGAAATTTGCTTTTCGCACATTTCATATTTTAATATTTTATTTTACATCCCGTTTTTTATGTTCCTTAATTTTGAATCTTAGCGTGTTAGTAGGTCCGTAATATACTGTCTGAATAATGAAAAATTACAAATACTACGTATATTAACAAAGAATGAAATTGTATATGTGGCTCATACTCTATGTATATGCCCATTATAAATGATCATGCTTAACTTGCAATATATATATACCAATTATAGTAATTATAAATACCTTTAAATGTCAGATCAAATCAGAAGAAAATGTTTTCTTTATAAAATTTGAATTTTGAGAACGCGGCTAAAGTAGAAAAATGATGTCAAATGCAGAGATTTTAAGTTGAATATACGATCAAGTCATCCAAATTTATCTAAGCGTTTATTAAAACTTAACATAAGTTCTTCATAAATTCTTATGAGTGACATATCAATATTTTATTCTCGACTCATGCTAAAGTATTATGAGTGTGATTTTTGCAACTATTGATCTGAGTGAATAAACTTCTTTGGGATTATAGGAAAGGGGTTAGAATAGGAAGATGGATATATATTACTCCTATTTAAAAAATAAAAAGATTATAATCCTATTGTTTCATTTTTAAGTAATTATAGTACTCCTATTTAGGGCTAATAGCTTTATACTTCGTATTATACTTCCTCCATCCCAAAGTGATTTGCAAAATCAACTTTTCTTAGTCAATACAATTTCTGTCCCAAAGTAATTATTTAGCATAATATATATCAATTTTTATTATATTCTAGTTTGGATTTTGCGACTTTATTGAACTTCTAATTTAGTTTCGGAATATGTAAATTGTAATTATTAAAACCGATTTTATTATTTTCCAGTATGATTTAACTTTATTGTTAGTCAACCTTAAAAATCACAAATTACAATTCAATTTGAAGGAGAAAGTAGTATCTTTATGTTGCATAGCAGACACAAATAGTTAAACTTTAAGAAGAATAAATTGTAAAATATTGATTTAAAGCAAATATAAA